CAGGGAATTCTAGGCCTGGAAAGTTTAGAAAGCAGGCAGGCCTTAGGGCTCTTTCATTCCCCTACTTTGTAGACTAGAAGCCTGGAGTCAGTAGGCCAGGGGTTCAAATCCCAGCTCTATATCTAATGGGTCGTGTGGCCACAGGCAATGTATGTACTGCTTCTGTTACCTAAACTGTGTAATGAAGATAAATAGTGGAGATTAACAAAGTGCATTCATGTGAAGCCAGGGAGCAGGATCCAATGCACCCCAAGGGAGGCACTGACTCTGAACGTGCCACCTGGCTATGTGTCTAGATCCTTAGACCACGCCCAGCCTCTGTCACCCAAGGCACCTGCCAGCCTCTGCACTCACCTCCTGTGTTGGTGTCCTCTTACCACATAACTATTACCACAGCCTTAGAGGCTTAGAACAACACATATTTATCCCACAATAGTTTAACAGTTCAGAAGTCCACGTGGACTTGCCTGGTTCTCTGAGGCCTCACAAAGCCCAAATCAAAAATGTCACCCAGGTCACATTTCTTTCTCGTGGGTCTAGGGTGAAAATGATTCCAGTCTCATCCAGGTTGTTGACAGAATTCAGGTGCATACAGTTGTAGAAATGAGGCCTTTATTTCTTTGCTAGTTTTGGCTAGAGCCATTTCAGGCTCCAAGAGGCCACCCAATTTCTTTGTCCTGTGGCTCTCATTAAAGCCAGCAGTGGTGAGTAAAGTCCCTCATGATTCAAAGCTCTCTACTTCACCTCCCCCCTCCTCCCTCCTCTGACTTTCTCTGACCTCACCTTCTGCCTCATCTCTCTCTTCTCCCTTCCTCTTCTGCTTTTAGAGGCCCATGTGATTACCCTGAAACCCAAGATAATCCTTTATTTTTCTTTATGGTACTGGAGATTGAACCCAGGGGTGGTCTATCACCAAGCTACATCCTGGCCCTTTTTATTTTTTATTTTGAGACAAGGTCTTACCAAGTTGCCTGGGATGGCTTTGAGCTTGCGATCCTCCTGCCTCAGCCTCCCAAGTCGATTAGATTAYAGGTGTGCACCAACCCACTGCACCTGTCCCAAGATGATCTTTTATAAAGTTTGCTGATTTGGATCTTGTTATGGTTTGGATCTGAAGTATCCCCCAAAGACTCGTGGTTGCAGGTTTGGTACCCAGTGCAGCAATGTTCAAAGGCGGGACTTTGGGGAAGTGATTGGATCATGAGGCCTCTGACCTCATCACTAGATTAATCCATTGCAGGATTCAAAGCTGAACAAACTACTGGGAGATACTGGAAACTGCAGAAAGTGGGACCTAGTTAAAGAGAGTGAGTCCTGGAGAGCATAAACTTAAGAGCTGTATCTTGTCCTAGCCCCTTCTCTTTCTCTGCTTCCCACCCTAAGATGAGCAGCTTTGCTCTGCCACACCCTTTTGCCATGACAGTTCTGCCTCACTACAGGACTGAAGACAATGGCTGGTACATCACAGACTGAAACCTTCGAAACCATGAACCAAAATAAACCTTTCCTATTTTAAGTTGTTTTTCAGAAGTATTTGGTCATGGTGACAGCTAACATACATAGATTTTTTAAAAATATTTTGTAAGTTGTTGATGGACCTTTATTAATTTATATGTGGTGCTGAGAATCAAACCCAGTGCCTCACACATGCTAGGCAAGCGCTCTACCACTGAGCCACAACCCAAACCCCCTAACATAAATCTTAATTCCATTTGCAAAGCCCCTTCACAGCAGCCCTGGGCTGTGTTAAATAACCAGGAGACAGAAACCCTCAGATTCTGCCCACCATCTCTGGCCCCCAGACTCTGCCATCAGCACCAGTCCTCAGACTAACCTCTGCAAAGATATAGAGGACCAAGACTATAGAGAAGAAACCCTCAAAGAAAGGAGGGCCAACTAGAGCCAGAGGGGCAGAAAAACCTCACCACAAAGGTTGGTGCAGGTAGCCAAGGGCAGACAGCACAGGCTGAACTTCAGCAAAGCCCGTGTTTGGGGTGAGTCACTATTCCAGTGCCATGCTACAGGCATTTTACCTGTCACTGAAGTTAACCACTGGGAAGACAGGGGCTTTTGTTTTACCGATGAGGAAACTGAGGCCCCACGGAGGAGGCACCCACTTGCCTAGATCACACAGGAATCTGTTATAGGACTAGGAAGCAAACATTGGTCCCTAACTGACCAGGCCAGTGTCCTCCACATCTCATCACCCCAGGGGCTTCAGATCCCTCTGGAATGATCCACAAAGGAAGGTCATTATGGACCCAACACAGGGCCAGTTCTGGGGCCCAAAGTCAAATATGCAAGGCTCTCAATCCTGCCACTCTCTAGGCAGCCAAGAAGATAGAGTGGCCAGACATTCTCAGAATACCTGAGGGGTTGGACAGCTGCGGAGGGGTCCCAAGGCCAGTGACTTACTTTCCAAATAGTAACCATGCAGGGCCATTTCTGAGGCATTTACCTCAAGCACAGATAAGATGGTCACACCCAGAAGGACATCCAGACAGGGACAGATTCATAAACTGACAAAGTTTTGCTTTATCAGAAAACACAGATCCTCCTGGCTTTCATAGGTTGAAAATATCATAAGGCAATAATGCATTTAATATGCCTCACCTACCAAACATCAATGCTTAGCCTACATTACCTTGAACATGCTCAGAATACTTATATTAGCCTACAGTTGGGCAAAATCATCTAACACAATGCCTATTTTACAATAAAGTTGTGAATATCTTATGTTATTATTGAACACAGTACAATGAAGAGCATCAGCGGCTTCCCCTCCTAACCTTCACATCATAGTTGAAAAATCTAAAATCCAATCATGGGAAACTGTGAGGGTGTCTGCTGGAGTGGATCACTGATTTTTATACAGATTCAGTGCTATATTGAATACCTGACAAACAGAGCTTTTTCTGGGGCTCTTTAAATGCACATTTCTGAGCCCTACCAATGACAGCAGACAGATATACATGAGGAGTTGGAACATGAGGTTAAGGGACTAGTTCTATAAAGTAGGCCCACCAAGCTAACCCCATGTCTTTTCATTTAAAAAAAAAAAAAAATTACTGGGCTGGGGCTGTAGTTCAGTGGCAGTAGTTCAGTTTGCCTAGCATATGCGAGGTACTAGGCTCGATCCTCAGCACCACATCAAAATAAATTGAATAAAGGTATTATGTCCATCTACAACTACCAAAAAGAAAAAAATTACCTGCAGGCCTACCTGTTTTAAGTCAATAAGATATGACACATTCCTCAGGAAACAACCTGTTATCTGCAGGAGAAATGCAGGCCCAAAATAATGCCAATGATAAGAACACAAGTTACCCTGCAGGAAGTTTGGGACTCTTATACAGGCCAGAAACCAGAACTCAGGGAGACATGATAATTCTCCCAACCATAACATGTATAAGAACGGTTCTATGAGCCAAAGTGACCTGGAATTGTCAAAGCAGTGGCCACTTGAAAGTCTGATGTTATCCTACTGTCAGTCAGAAGAAATAAATCTAGGTGGGATTCTCTGGAAGCTTTCCCGGAACCCTCAATAAAACTGGAGGGCAGGAGAGGCATGCCATCCCTCTCCTCACTTACAGAACCCACTCTCTCCCTTGAAAGTATCCCCTTTCCCATCCCTTCTAATAAACTCACACCGACTACTCTGAGAAACACATCCAAAATCTGACTTGATTGAAAGAATCGAGGCTAGAAGGGGAGCCTTCATGCTGTCTCAGTTTCTTAGAAGGCCCCAGCTCTGTAACACCAAAACTTACTGACCAGATGCTGCAAGAGGACTCCAGACATCTGCTCCCCAGTGTGCCTGTGAAGCAGAGTCTGGGCTTAGAACTTCAGGGAAAGCAGGTCAGGAGAGCTCAGATTCTGACCCAAGATCCTGGGGCAGGCTGTGGCCCCACCAAAGTGTCATAGGCTGCAAGACATTAGGAGTCTTCAGTAGATCCAAGCTAACATCAGGCTCTCTCTACAAAAGTGCTAGGAAAGTTACCATCTAGTTCCACGGCCTCTGTTTCCCAATATGTAAAACAGGGAGTCAAAGCCAGTTGGTGACATCATGTACAACCACAAGAATGAGATCCTAATTAAAACAAAACAAACAAAAAGCCAGTTGTTGTTGGTGAACACTTGTAATACCAGCAACTCCAGAGACTAAAGCAGGAGGATTGCAAGTTCGAGGACAGCCTGTGCAATTTAACAAGACCCCCCATCTCAAAATAAATAATAATAAAAAAAAAGACTGAGGATGTAGCTCAGTTGTAGAGTGCCCTAGGTTCAATTCCCAGTACCCGACCCCCCAATAACAATAAATAAAGGAGTGGAGGACATTAAGACCTGACCTCCCCTCCTCCACAAAGCAAACAGTAAGCCGTTCCTTAGTTTGAAGTGTCCCCATCCTATTTCACATGCAGACTCTTACATATCAGCTTCCTCCTTTCTTCTGTTTTGCAAAATAAAGAAAATGATCCTATAGCCATGGATGTGACTTCCTCAGCAGAAAAGACGAAAACGCCTGTTGGACGTGAGTGGAGGGACAACCACAGAGCTTGGGTTAGTTCCTCTGGTTGTTAAGTTTATTCCAAGAAGGGTGTGTGGGCGGGGGAGGGGTGTAGTCTGGAGAATGTGGAGACTGACCGACGGGCGCTCTGGAGGTGGGCACCGGCAGGGAGACGGGGTTGTGGGACGGGGAACCGGCAGGGAGGTGGAGAGGTCTGGCTAAGGCCTCCGTCCTTCGAGAGCCACCCTCGCCAGTCGGTGCCAGCCCAGCTGGGCAGAGCAGGGACCCCTCCAGGAGGGGCTGTCCAATCCGCCCTTCCCTCCAGAGAACAGGAGAGGGGAGCGCAGTGGCCCGGATGGTGGGAAGGCTGGGAAGGAGCGGCCGCGGGTCCGCCAGGGGTCGACGTGGCCCCGCCTCCCGCGAGCCGGCCGCGGGACTGGGTCCTGCGGTGCCGCCCCGCCCGCCGCCTCGCCCCGCCCCGCCGCCTCCGGGACCTTAGCCCTGGCCGCCACCTCCGGGGTCTGGAGCCACAGCCGCGCCGCGCCGCCGCGATGAGGGCCGTGCTGCCGCTGCTCTGCGCCTGGGCTTGGCTCCTGGGCGCCCCTGCCCGCGCTGCCGCCGCGCTGTCGGTGAACTCCTTAGGTATGCCCGGCCGCGGCCGAGGGGCTGGAGGGTCCCAGACTCCGCGCTCCCGAGAACTCGCTGAACTGGGGGGCGGTGGGGCACTGGGCGTTCCACAGGCCCAGATTCAGGCTGTGCGTGTTGGGATCAGGGAGGGGTGAAGGGGTGGCCTCCCGCAGGGCGGRAGACGGGTGGTCTCGGAGGGTGGGTGTCTTCCATGACCAAAGGAACAGATGGGCTGTGTGGCCAGGGTTCCCCTTGCCCAGGCGGCGACAAAGCCTAGACTACCAAAGAAACCCGCAGCCTTTCCGCCCTCCACCCGCCAACGGGGGCAACTGGGGACACAGAGGACTCTGAAGTGCTCCTGCCACAGGCAAGCGGGGTTTTCCAGCCTTTTCTAGCGGTTTTCCCATAGACATAGGGGATCCCCAAAGGTGCCTTGAAAGTTCATCTGTAAAATGGGTTGGAATGAGCTGTGTGGAGGTTTGACTCCTGCTACAGCAGCACCTAGTCCAATAGCAGTTTTGACCCCTAATCCTATGGTGTCTGGTGGGCTGCGACTGTACCAGCATCCTGCTGCTCTTGCACCCCTCCTTTTAGCCCCCCTCCTTCCCTGCTGCCCTTGGCCCCAGCCTCAGTCCACAGGCTCTGAGCTTACAAACCCACCTGCCCCCTTCACCCTGGGACAGAGAAGAGTAGCCAAGGACCAGCTTGGGAATGGGACAAAGATCACCCAGGCTCAATCTTGCCTGGTCAGAATCTCCTCATTCCTTCCTGCCTATTTATAAGTGGAAGCTGAAGCGGGCACACAGCTCCAGGTCAGTCCTCACCTAAGGGAAACCCAGCTGCTTCCCGGCAGAGGGCTTTGGTTTTCTTTGGYAGGCGGCCTGTGTAGAGGAGTGCTGGCACAGAAACGCAGTTAACTCTCAAGCAGGGCTTGGCACACTTTTTCTGTGAAAGACCAGCTAGTAAATATTTTAGCTTTGTGGGTCATTTGGTCTCTGTAACAACCATTTAACTCTGCCGTTCTAGGCCAAAAAACAGCCACATACAGAATGTAAATGAGTGAGCATGATTATGCTCTAATAAACATTTATGGATGCTGAGCTTCGAATTTCAAAAGACTTTCAGGTGCAGGAGGAAAGAATAGAAGTTCATTGGATTAGACAAAGGGGAATGAAGGGAAGGGAGGGGGAGGGGAATAAGAAAGACAGAATGAATCGGACATAACTTTCCTATGTTTTTATATGAATACATGACCAGTGAAACTCCACGCCATGTACAACCACAAGAATGGGAAGTTATACTCTATGTATGTATAATATGTCAAATACATTCTATTGTCCTGTATACTTAAAAGAACAAATTTAAAAATTCAAAAGATTAAAAAAATAACTTCAGATGGTACAAAATATCACTGTTCTTCCCCTACCCTCATCAACAGGTTAAAAGTATAAAAAACCATTGAAACTCCTGGGCTTACAAAAACAGGTGGCAGGCTGTGATTTCCTGACTCCTGCTGTGGATCCTTCCCAGGCAGGACACATATAATGATACTTGTTTGAAAAGTGGTAAGGGAGTTCCAATGGATCTGTGTGAAATTGAGACATGGTTATCAGCTGATCTTTCTGGCCCTGTCTTAAGGTTCTGCATTTTCTTGACTTCCTAAGAATAAAAAGTAGCCAGGGGTTTTTCACACCTGCTAGATACTTTTGAAATCTGCCTGAGGCACAGGTCAGTAATCTGAACTCCATCCTGCTGCAGATGGTGGTCCTGAATTGAGCTCTGTTTTTCTCTGAAGGCCCCAACTGCAAGCAGAGCCCATAACCAGGATGTAGATCCCTGAAACCCTAAGCAGGACATGTGTGGGGAAATATGCATTTTCTTTCTCAGGGACAATGGTTTCTGGAATAACTCTGAAATCCACAGAGGGAAATCTAAATGCTGTGCAGCACTGACCTTCAAACTGGGGTGTGAATTCCTAGGGGAACACAGAGGCTGTTTCAAGTGATATCAACACAGATGGATTCAGTTTCAAGGAGTCAGTTTCCAGACCCTTTACTTCCAGATGTCTCCTTTGCAAAAACTGAAGAAAAGCATCTAAAGGCATTTGTCCTGAAGCCCAACCCTTGGATGTAGCAAACAAAAAGACAAATGGCCACAAATCTTTCAAGTTTGGTGTTCTTCATTTCTCAAGGAAACTGAAGTGAAGAAGGGAGGATTCCCCTGAGGTATTGCTGACCTCATGATTTGGGACCTGGGACCTAGGACCAGGCAAAGAATTAAATTGGACATTGCTCTGAAAACTGCCTTTCTTTCCCAGCTGCTTATTTGATCAGGACTTTCCATCCCTTTGACTTCAAAAATAATGAGACCAGAATTAATGTTGAACCCTGTCTCAAGCAGTAGATAATGCTTAGTCACAAATATTTAATCCATGAGGAGGAAGAAGTAATGAAAGTTTATCTCATTAAGAAATATATTTCCAAAAGAATTTTTTACTTTTTAGATTAAACAATGTATAATATATTTGAAAATCTAATCAGTTGGGGTACTCATAATCCCTATGATTATTCAATCAAGAATAAATTTTTTACGGGGCTGGGGATGTGGCTCAAGTGGYAGCACACTCGCCTGGCATGCATGAGGCCCGGGTTCGATCCTCAGCACCACATACAAACAAAGATGTTGTGTCTGCCGAAAACTAAAAAATAAATATTAAAAAACTTTTAAAAAAGAATAAATTTTTTATAATATTCAGGAAATAAAAAAATTTAAATTGATATTTTTTGTTGTTGCAAAATAGGATACTCAAATATTAAAAGTACTCAAAATAAAAATGTTTCTTTAGGGTAAAATACTGTAAGGTGGAAAGAAAGACATTCAATGAGAAAAAGAAACTATGTAAAATATCCAATTCTTATAGAAAAGTTTGTTTATATCATTGATGGTAAGTAGCAAACTCCCAAGGCATATGGATTTTATTGGCTAGCTTTAAAAGAATGATGTAACAGTGGGGTTTTTGTTTTTTTCTTCCTTTTTTTTGCAGTACCGAGGATTGAACCCAGGGCCACATGCATGCTAGGCAAGCAAGCACTCTACCACTGAGCTATATCCCTACCTCCTGTGAAACTATATATTTTATTGTTTTGTAAAGTTTTTTAGACCCATTAATGTTCCCATTGCCTATGGCTTCTTTTAAGGTACAAAGATGAGATAAATGACAGAGACCTTATGGATTGCAAAGCCTAAAATATTTTCCCCTTGAGAAAGCATGTGCTGACCCTTTGGGCATAGGGTTTTTAATTAACTTCTTATTGAAATATAATATCATACAGAAAAGTGCACAAATCATTAAGCATGCGTTTCAATTAGTTTTCACAATTGAGACATCTTGCATGACCTGCACTCTGATGAAGCAATAGAACGTTGCCAAACATTGCCGGCATGATAATAGCTCACAGTCCACCCAGGATAAACACTATCCTAATTTTTAACTGTGTCAATGATTAAAAGTTTATCAGTGATTAAAAATAAACAATGATTAAAAGTATATCATTTGGGGGGAAATTTAGTGGAGTACTTAGCATGGGGGAGGCCTAGGTGCCATCCCCAGCTACATTTTTAAAAAATAATGAAGTCTGGATATACTTGACCATGTATTCTTTGTATGAATTTTAGCATCAACTCATAAAGTGAAAAATAATGCAGGAACATTATTTGTAATTACATTAAATTTATATATTTATTTTAGAAGGCTAGCCATTGAGTATTTCCTTCTCTGAAAATAAAATATAGCATAATCTTCATTTTAACAAAAAAATAATAAAGTATATTGTTTTTCAAATTTAATTTGGGAGTCTGGAGATGTAACTCTGGTGGAATACTTGCCCAGCATATGTGAGGCCCTGAGATTCTTCCACAGCACTGAGAAAAAAAAAGGAGAAAAGAAAAAAAAAATTAATTTGGGATACAAAGCAGAAAGAGTTTGAGTTCCTTTTGGATTCAGCATTAGATCATATCACCTTTGGTATTTTAAATATAGCATAGTTTTCTAAAATGCAAATCAGTTCTAAAATGTTCTAGTTGGCTCTAAACTCAACATTACCAAGAGGCCCAGACCTAATTTTTTTTTTTTTTTCCTTTTACAGAGAAGTTTCATTTTAAGTCATGGATGGTACAGGTCAGTGCCCAACTTCTTCTTTCTAAAGTTTTTCATTTCACAAAGTTTCCTGTTATTAAACCAAACTGTACCAGATTTGAAACGATAAAGAGGGATTTTCCACATTCAACCCACCCTGGGTCTTTCCAGAGTTCAGATTGGCTGAACACTAGCAAAGACGCAGTTAAGTAAACTCCTTCCAAACAATGGTCCCCAGTCACAGACATGGCTGGCAGCCTTTCAAACCTTGAAATTCACTTCCATTTTTTTTCTTGTTTGTTTGTTTGTATTCAGAGCACCTTGCACAGTGGCTGCAAAATCAGGTGGAGAATACTAGTGTAAAAACTTTTGAAAAATGGTGATTTTTGCCATCAGTTTGACTCACTACCAGTCCTGGTGTCCAGGGGTAACCTGAACTTGGCAGATCCCTTCATCAGAGCCTCTTGGATTCTTGGCTGACACTCAAGCAACTACTTGATCTTCATTTTGGCCACAGATCTCTGGAGGCAGGAGGCCGCTTTGTAACTTACTGATTTTGATAGTAGAGACCCAGTGCCACCCACTGATAAAAGATTTGTCCTGAGAATCTTGGCAGAAAGAAAACCTCCATTCCTCCTTTCAGAAAACAAGAAATCTCCTTCATGCATCCTGTTTCCATGACTTAATGTTTTTTGTTTTGTTTTGTTTTTAGCACCAAAAGAAATACAGCTCAGAGGAGTACCACCACAGGCTGCAGACATTTGTCAGCAACTGGAGGAAGATCGATGCCCACAACAATAGGAACCACACATTTAAAAGTACTGTGGGGTGCCTTTCCTTCAGGCTTCTCCAGAGGGAGGCCGGGAGGGAGCATCTCAGATCTGGAAAGAAAGCATTTGTGACACAGGCTGATAATAGCCATTAGAGGGTATGATGAGGAGATGTGGGGAGCTGATACCCAGGCCCTGAGGCCAACCTTGGCCAGCCTGAGACTGTGACTTTACTGTTATTGTCTATGAAACACAGAGTTGTGGGCTGGGGATGTGGCTCAAGCGGTAGCGCGCTTGCCTGGCATGCGTGTGGCCCGGGTTCGGTCCTCAGCACCACATACAAACAAAGATGTTGTATCCGCCGAAAACTAGAAAATAAATATTAAAAAATTCTCTCTCTAAAAAAAAAAAAAAAAAGAAACACAGAGTTGTAAATTTAGGGAAATGCTAGTACCCTCTAGGTGGTGTGACATTTACAGGAGACTCTAGAGAAGAAGCCTCTGCTCTATTCCTGCCATCTGCGGGTCCATCCCAGAGACCCAGAGCTGTCAGGGGCAGTGTCTCTCAGAGACTGCTCTGAGCTCATGGGCCGCCTTTAGGGACATCCCCCTTCACTACATGTTTGTATCACTAGAAATGCACACACATTCAGATAGTTTTACTGGTGTTCTGAGAAATGGTGGCAGTTCAGCCATATTGGGCTCAGGAGCTGTCCCATACTAGCGTGTGACTTTGCAGTGGGTTGGGGGCTGATGCTGAACATGAGCTGTCAGTACAGATGACCATGCGCCCCTCCCTGGGCTGCTGTGAAGACTGCTTGTGGCACAGGTGGGCAAGCATTTGCACAGGTGTAGTGGTTCTCCATCATACTCACCTGTGGGCTATCTAAAAACGTGGGTGCCCAGGCCCCGGCCTAGACCAGCTGCGTCCATTAGCATCTCTGGAGTGCAGCCCAGACACCTATACTGTTGTAAATCTCCCCCAGTGGTTCTGAAGCACAGGGAGCATTGCCCTTATTATATTGGATCATATTAAATTTAAAGTTTTGAAGGACTTAAGTTGCAACAACCAAAAATAGAACACAAGTGAAGAAGTTTCTTTATTTTTTGTTTCTTTAGTAATGACTCACTAAGTTTTTCTACTTCATTTTGGTTGATTTCTTTTCTTTCTTTCTTTTTTTTTTTTTTTGTTTTGGTTTGGTTTGGTTTTGGTTTTCCCTCTCTTTTTCAGTGGCACTGAACCAATTTTCAGACATGAGCTTTGCTGAGATAAAACAAAAATATCTTTGGTCAGAGCCGCAGGTAGGTATAATTCATTGCAAAGAAATCTTGATTTCTTTCTTTCCCTTTCCCCCCACCCCCAGTGGTACTGGAGATTGAACTCAGGGCCACACTACCACTGAGCTATATCCCTAGCCCTTTTTATTTTTAGTTTTGAGACAGGAACTCACTAAGTTGCTGAGGCTGGCCTTCAACTTGTGATCCTCGTGAGTCAGCTGGGTAGCATGCACCACCACACCTGGCAAATCTTTTCATTCAAACCTTTGGAATAAGTTTTTAACCTGTTCTGCTTCCAGCTAGATTCAGTCCACCTCTAAGCCATTGCTGGGGGCATCCCAATATTTTTTGAGGAAGCCAGAGGGTTTATCTCTGACCTCACCTTAGCAAGGTGAGCCCTTAGTAAATTCTAAATATTGCAAGGAACATACTTACAAGATATTAAGGGAAACTAATTTTATACCTGGTATTCAAATTGAATGAGTTAAGGTATATTTTTATTTGCTAAATCTGCTACCCTTTCCTAATTCCTCAAACCTGGGCTCTAGAGTGAACATATCATTCAGCATTTGATACCTGTAGACAGGGGAGGGACAGTTCTCACAGTGATAGCCTTTCTCACTCGTCTTGGTGATTTCATTTTAATTACATTATTTTTTTTGACAAAAGGGCTTTTTTTTTTTACCTGAATATAATGTATTTGTTTGTTCCAGAATTGCTCAGCCACCAAAAGTAATTACCTTCGGGGTACTGGCCCCTACCCAACATCTATGGACTGGCGGAAAAAAGGAAATTTTGTCTCACCGGTGAAAAATCAGGTATACATGGCAATCCCCAACCTTTCCCCAAAAAAGCCACATTCATAGACAATATTCCTGGAAGGAAAACTCAGAGAAACCACAAAACCACTCAAGCTTATTCCCACCTCTGCTTTTTCCTCACCATCTCTCCAGGTCTGTTCCTTTGCAAGGCTGGGGAGATTGTTACTCATATAAGCTGCTCTGGAGGTTGTTACTCATGGAGCTGCTCTGAAAATGTTCCTTCATTGGGCTAAAGTTTACTCCCACACATGTGAGCACATGCGTGCAACACACACTCCCCTGTGTGTCCCAGGTCTGTCCTTTGGAGTCACTCAAAACATTTTGTTCCCTGTGCCCAGCAGAGATTGGACATTGTGACTCCATTCCTACCACCATGTATCTTCTCCTCCTGTTCTGCAGCTATTCCTCAAGGCACCAGGCTGCAGCCCCTCCCCTGAATGCCTATCTCTTTTGGGTGGTTCCAGGTGGTCAGTGAGCCAAATGAAACCCATCATTTCCTGGGTGTTCTCTGGCCACAGCAGAGGTGGCCTTTCTGTGGGGCAGAGCATCCCCTGGGGCCCAGTGGACTGGGCTGGGCATGCCCCCTCCCTTCCCCCAACTTGCACATGCTCTCTTCTGGAGTCCCAACCCAACTCTCTGCTGTCTGCCTACCCAGGCCCTTCCCCTCAAAGTAGCAGGGCAGTGGCCCTCTTCAGAGGAATGCTAACTCCTCGATTCCAGGAAATACAAGGTTAAGTCTTTCTTTCAGGCAACTCTTGACTTTCCACTGAAACTTACTAAGGGAAATGTTTTTCACTTTCCAAATCTGTCATGTGGAGCAACTCCGCATCCTCCCAAGCTCACCATGTCCTGCAGCCTGCCAAGTGAACTGGTTGTTTAAACCAGCCCTCTGTAAGCCAAAACAAATCTCCCCTCCCAGCCTGCAGTAGAAAAAAGCCTGCCTTCAGCTTCATGACCAGTGGCAGCTCTTTCTCCAAGACCTCTGGAGAATCTCAGGACAATTCAGAACAACAAGTATTTGGTGTGGAAACCTACACCTGCTCACCATTTGGGCAGATGGAAGGGGAGGTCCACCAAGAATGTTCAGATTGTTCTATCAGCAGATCCTGGGCCTCTAGGCACAGGTTAAGGGGGCAGGAACAAGGTCATTCCAAACAGCAGCTACAGCATTCATTGTTAGCTCAGCAGCCCCCTTGAGGGATGTCACTTTACAGAGAAGGAAACTGAGCGGGAGGGTGGATTGTTCAAGGCCCAAGATAAGTGAGAAGCAACTCAAAACCAGGCCTCTGTGCCTAATCCAAGCCCTACTGTGTTTCCTTCAGCAATGAACAAGGTCACCCCCAGTGTGTCCAAACCCGCCTCTTTGAACATCTCAAGGACACTCTGACCAGCTCTTCCTGTGTAAGGAAAGCTCTGAGAGGATGAGACTAGAGGGGGAGGCCAGTGTGACAGCTCTTTCCAGGGAGACAGGTCATGAGGACCAAACTGGGGCAATGACATGGACAGGAGGAAGGGAGTTTAAGAGACATTTCATAAGTAGGATGTGAAACATAGAACCAACAAGAAGAGGAAGAGACAAAAATGAGCCTGAGAGGAAAATAATAACTGCCATGAACATTATTAAGTCCAGTGGGTAGCTGCATGACCTTATCTAGCTCCTTCCATTTTACAAATGAAGAAACAGGTTCTGTGGGGGAAGTCACTGGCCTGGCTTATACAGCTAGTGTGAGGCAGAACTATGATCTGAACCAAGCAGCCTGGCACTAGTGCAGACAGCCAACCCTCAAGTCATCCTGGGAGTGCAGCAATGAATGTGGCAGAAGAAGACTCGAGTGATGCGTAGGGCAGGATCCCCAGAGCCTGCCTAAGATGTCAGGAGCACCCCAGTAGGTCTATCTGGAAGTCAGTTTGATCTGTAGGCCTAGATAAAGGTCGAGGCTGAAGCTACAATTTAGGAAACTGTTGTTAAACAGTTAGTTAACTGACTCTAGGTGGAATGAGATTGGTGGTGAATAGGTGAAGGTTCTAGAAACAGAACTTTAGTGACTCCCTTTGCTGGGAAACAGTATGGAGAAGAGGAGCCAGCAAAAGACTCCAAAGTAGGAAAGCCAGAAGTCTGTAGAGCGGGGTCAGGAAGGGGCTCCCAGCCCTGGAAGATGGCAGGGATGGATCAACAAGAGGGGTGGCCCAGACTGAGAGTCTGTGGTGCCAGTCAGAACTGCTGCTTCTCCATGAGGCTTGGTTGCCTCTCAGGACTTCTGAGGCTCAGGCTGGACAAACCTGGAGCAGGGCTCTGTAAACTACAAAGGCATTCAGGGCCTGGGGCATTCCACAGGGGTGAGTGGAGGAAGCAGGGCCTTCTTGTGGTATTCCAGTTGCTGACTTCCTCTGCCCTCTTGGCCTCTCTAGGGTGCCTGTGGCAGTTGCTGGACTTTCTCCACCACAGGGGCCCTGGAGTCTGCGGTGGCCATCGCCAGTGGGAAGATGCTGTCTTTGGTAAGAAGTCAGCCTTGGGCTAAGTCCTATGGAGGACACCCCCAGCCTGGGCTGGATGCCGTGCCTGGGCCTTCCGCCTCCTTCAGAGCTATTTCAGTTGGACCTCAGGTGTTCCAGCCTGTGGACGTTTGACATGAGAATTTCAAATAATACTTTTTCCTGGAAAGAATGAGGCTTAAAAAAAAAAAAAAGAATGAGGCTTATTGAGGAAACTGTGGCGGGCTCACTCCTGGGTGGTTCTGTGTGTTCCTTGGGTTCCTCACTTTGACAGTCTGGGGCCTTTCACCAAAGATGGGCTTAGAAAAGCAGAGCCTGCCTGGGAGACAGTCCTGTAGGAGCTTTATGCCTTCCTAAGCTGCCTCTGTTGTCTTAAGTGGGAAGAGCAACGACCAACATATCTATCCCTTGACCCCGAACAGTGAGAGGTGATAAGCTCTGAGGAAGCTGTCCCAGGTCGTCCCCCCCTATGGGGAAGAGGGAAAGTATAGGGCGAGGCCATCGAGGCATGAAGGCCCAGGTCAAGGAAAGGTGGGGCTGGGTCTCTGACTGGCTCTGCCCCCCTCCCCCAGCACCCTCCCCCATGAGCCCCTGTGATCCCACTGTGTGCATGCCTGCAGAGCAGGGGCTTGGGCCACGAAGTGCCTGCTCCCTGCCTCTCACGTGCCTACTTGATTGCCAGGCAGCTCCTGAGCCCCTCCTGACATGTGCCACCTGCTGAGCTGACATTGCAGAGATTGTCCTGCCCTTGGGGAGTTTGTAATCTGGTCATCTTGACACAGTGCCAATTGGACAAAGATCAGGAGACCTGGCACCTCATGCCAAAGCCTCCATAGCCTCTTGGCCTTGGGCTCACTGGATTTGTGCTCCTTTCTGTAGGCAGAGCAGCAGCTGGTGGACTGTGCCCAGAATTTCAACAACCATGGCTGCCAAGGGTAAGTCCTCAACCAGGAGGGCCTGGAACCCCTTCTCAGCTCCCACTGATCACTGCTGTCAAATCTAGCATGTGCCGTCCCCATGTCACACAACCCCGTCTGTCATGCATTGAGGAAGGTCACCTTACACTGCCAGGGTCTCACAGCCAGTCTGAGCAGAGCTACAATCGGAGCCTAAGCCTGTCTAGTTCTGAAATCCATCCTCTCTCCACCAAGTTACCTGGCTCTCTCCAGAGCACAGTCAGCCTCACTAGTCACAAAAGCCTCTTGGGCAAGTGGCCAAAGGAGCGAGAAAATATTGTTATACATCATCCTCCAGAAAGGAGATCCACACACCGACAGCTGTTTGGCCTTTAGACAGGTCCTCTGAAGTGCTAGATGCCCTAGCTCACTGGCCTGTGAGGGAGCTTTGTTCACCAGGGCAATGTGTCCATGCAGGGAGCTGTACCTCCACTGGGCCTGCTTTCCTGGCTCATCCCTACAACAGGTTGTTAGGAATTTCCTCCCATTTCTACAATGACTCTCAGCTTCATCTCTTTCTCCACTGTGTTATGCTCTGAGATATTTATGTAGGACTGTTTAGCTTTCCCAGAACATAATATGCATAAAGCCAGACCCTTGGGGCCCGTAGGGAAGCTCCCAGCCCAGACTGCCTGCCCGTCTGCCTGCCCATCCATGGTGCATCCTTCTTCAGACCTCAGCCCCAGCACATTGGCACTTCTTTCCCTATGGGAACACATCTCTTTAATTAATTAATTAATTAATTTGTTCTAATTTGTTATATATGATAGCAGAATACATTTCAATTCATAGTACACATATGGAGCATAATTTTTCATTTATCTGGTTGTTCACAAAGTACCGTCACACCATTCATGTCTTCATACATGTACCTAGGGTAATGATGGCCATTTCATTCCACCATCTTTCCTACTCCCATGCCCCCTCCCTTCTCCTCCCCCTCCTTTACCTTATCCAAAGCTCCTCCATTCCTCCCATGCTCCCACCCCCACCCCCATTATGGATCAGCATCCACTTATCAGAGAAAACATTCGGCCTTTGGTTTTTTGGGATTGGTTTACTTCGCTTAGCATGATGTTCTTCAACTCCATCCATTTACCTGCAAGTGCCATGATTTTATTCTCTTTCAATACTGAGTAATATTCCATTGTGTATATATACCACAGTTTCTTTATCCATTCATCTATTGGAGGGCATCTAGGTTGGTTTCACATTTTAGCTCAATAGCTGCTGTAAATATCGATGTGGCTGCATTACTGTACTATGCTGATTCTAAATCCTTTGGGTATACTCAGAGAAATGGGATAGCTATGTCAAATGGTGGTTCCATTCCAAGTTTTCTAAGGAATCTCCATACTGCTTTCCGGATTTTTTGCAGTCCCACCAGCAATGTAAGAGTGTGCCTTTCCCCCACATCCTCGCCAACACTTAATTGTTGCTTCTATTCTTAATAGCTGCCATTCTGACTGGCGTGAGATGAAATCTTACAGTAGTTTTTATTTGCATTTCTCTAATTGCTAGAGATGTTGAACATTTTTTCATATATTTGTTGATTAATTATATATCATCTTCTAAGAAGTGTCTGATCAGTGCCTTGGCCCATTTATTGATTGGGTTATTTGGTTTTTTGGTGTTAAGATTTTTGAGTTCTTTATGAATCCTGGAGATTAGTGCTCTATCTGATGTGCATGTGGTAAAAATTTGTTCCCATTCTATAGACTCTCTCTTTACCTCACTGATTTTTTTCTTTTGCTAAGAAGAAGCTTTTCAGTTTGAATCCATCTCATTTATTGATTCTTGATTTTATTTCTTGAGCTTTAGGAGTCTTGTTAAGGAAGTCAGAATCTAATCCAACATGATGAAGATTTGGGCCTACTTTTTCTTCTATTAACTAACACCAAGCCTCCTGCAAAGGGCTGTGCCTTTTGTGTAATATTTGCTGTGGCCTGGCTCACTGGTTCCTGGTGAGCATGCCCTGGTGGCAGAGGAGGTCTCCTGAGAGGTCAGCAATGTTGACATCACTGCCTGCTACAGCACCATCATGCTCAGTCTCATTTTGATCTCTTTCCTCTGGTTAACTTCATACCACCCTAACATGCTGAACCCTGGGCTTGCTGCAGCCCTGCTTTGTGAAGGAACAGGACTTTCTTCTTTCATCCATGCACTAGCTACCATCAAGCCCGACTGTGTATCCAGCCACAGGGATATAGCACTCTGCAGAACTGGAGCTGACACTCAGCTGGTCAGGTCGGACAGGCTGTAAGCATGTCATAGATCAGGTCACAGTGGCACACGCTGTGGAGAGGAAGACACAGTAGGGATCAGAGTGGGGAGTCCTGGGCAGCAGTTAAGTTTTTATTTTCTCTGAGAGGTGGCATGATGAAGAAAGGATTCACCTTTGGAACCAAAGCCTAACTCCAGCTTTGTGACCCTGGACAAGATGTTCAGCCTCTCTGAGCTAAATCAGGGAAATAACACCCATCACTCAAGGGTCAGGCAGTCATGTGCGGACCACCTCCCTCACACGGCTGCCCCTTAGGCAGGGTGCTTTTGGTGATGGTGCACTGGGGCGATCCCATAGGTCTTCCTGAGGGACTTCCCATTCCTCAGGACCTCCAGTGGACTCACCTGAGTTTGCTAAGCTTTATGCCAAGGCAAGTAGGGCAACATTGCTGACCTCTCTGCCACCAGGGCACGCTCACCAAGACCCAGTGAGCCATGCCACAGTCAATATCACACAAGCTCCAGCTCTGCAGGCCCCACCTCTGTCCCTCAGGGTGGCTCTACCTGGGCTTACCTGTGTGTGCTTTTTGCAGGGGCCTCCCCAGCCAGGCCTTCGAGTACATCCTGTACAACAAGGGCATCATGGGAGAAGACACCTACCCCTACTTGGGCAAGGTAATTCCGGGTAGCCCCAGCTGTCTTCTCCCATCTCCATTCCTACCTGTGTCAGGATACACCTTGTCCCCCAAGCCTCCTGCTGCAATCCAGAATGTCTGAGCCCTTTGCACTCCCCTCTGGCCTCTTGTCACCCCCACCCCTGTGGCACTATCTCTGCTTCCTGAGCATCCTCCTCAGGAACCCTTCCGCACACCGCCCTGCCTGCCCTGTTTTTCCTGGCCTGCCTCCTGTCCACACAGGCGGTCTCTCCTACTGACCACCATGCTCTCCTAGGCCACTTCTACATTGCTCTGCTGTGTGCGCCAGCGGCCACCCCCTCCATCACCTCAGCCCAAGCTGGCCACAGCCAAGCCCTTTGTCTTTCTTCCAAACCCACAGCCCCTCCTTTGCTTCTCCTCTCATCAAGGAGCAGCACCAGCCTCCTCAGAACCTACTGGCCACCTGAGGTCCTGTCTGGGACTGGCCTACTCTGCTGCTGGCCATCACAGACCTTCTCACTTAGGCTTCCTTATTCCATGTCCCCACTGCCCACTCAGATCTTGGTCTCCCTCATGGGGTCACTGGGCTTGCCTCCCCTTGGGCCTCAGACGCAGCTCTGACATGCACCTGCCTTGTTCAGAACTCTCAGGAGGCTCCTCGAGCCCTCCCCACCCCCACCCTAGCCAATCTTATCTCCTGTTACCTCCCTCTTATAAACCCTGTGCTCAGGCCCAACCACTTGCTGGTTTCTAAACCACGAGATCCTGCTCTCCTTACAGTCCTGCTCTTCCCTATTCTGTGACCTTAGCTCTGCAGCTCCCTCTTGTCAGCACTGATTCCTGGACTGAGGGTCCCTCCCCTCCCCTCTTACTCAGCCTCCATTTCTCTGTGATCTTCCTTGGGCTGGCTCAGGCTCCTCCCTGGTGTCCCACCAAGCACTGTGTGTGTCCCTCTCTCCCCACAGCCAGCACAGGGCTATTTCTTGCCCGTAGACTCTGAATTCCTTGAGGACAGTTATATCTCTAATTCTCGCTGAACTGACACCCTCATCAAGGCCCTCGGACACATACTAAATGTTATCAAACTGCATATGTGGAGGCTGAAGTCTCAGCCTTGGACCAGGGCTCTCCTAACTTATATTCTGTGCACCTTTCTGCCCTGAACAGGACAGTAAGTGCAAGTTCCATCCAGAAAAGGCCATTGCATTTGTCAAGGATGTAGCCAACATTACACTTGTGAGTACTGGGCTCTTCTCTCAGTTGGGGAATATATTCTGATGAGGCTGGTCTCCACAGTTGTAGGTGGCCAGTGGGCCTAGGAGGGCAGCCTCTCTGACAGTATGTCACTTTGACTGAAGAGTTTGAGTTATCATTGACTCTAACTCAACTGTGCTGAGAGCATGGTGGAAGATGGAAAAGGAATCACCGACTGGCTGATACTCAGGTTCTGAACACCAGGTCTGCCCATGTCTTCATTCTTGTTCTGTTATTCTTGTCTGTAAAATGCAAGCAATAATCCACACCTTGCACAAGAGGGTGTGACCATGTGCGTGATGTCAGAACGTGTGTGTGAGATTGAGGAGGAGTATGAATGTGTGTCAGTCAGGATGAGCTAGGTTCTGCTGCAGTCATGACCAGCCTCAAATCCGAAAGGCTTACATAAAGTGTATGTCTCACTCCTGTGACCTGTCTCTTGCATAGGCAGGACTGTATTCTGACCTATTGACCTCACCACAGGACCCAGGCTGACGGAAAGAGAATAGTCAATTATGGCAATAAATGAGTTACACAGTCACACCTCATCTCCAGTGGATTGAGAAATGCAGCTGTGCCCTGCTTTTGCAAGAACATGCTTGAATGTGAATGAACGGCCCTCGTGACTCCAGGGTGCATATAGTAGGGGAGGATTGTGTAGGAGTGATCAAATATCGTCATAGATGTGGGCAGGTGTGATTTGTACAAATGAGAGCCTGAGGGGTGGGGGCATGTGCCAGTAAACATATATGCAGGTCATAGACATGATGTCTTTGTAATGACAACTGCAGCTATGCATTTGAAACACGTGCCAAGCTCTAGGCAGTAATGACAGTGTACATTTATGACGCACTTAAAGGTGCTGTACCCAACAACCAGACATGCATTATCTCCTTTAAAGTCAAAATAACCCTAGAAGATGAATATTGTTATTCATCTTCATTTTGTAGATGAGGAAACAGAGGATCAGAGTACTTAAGTGATATGCCCACAGCCCATAGAGCTAGGAGTTGGAAACTGGATTTGAATTGAGATCATGTCATTCCAGAACCAGGGCTCATTGCCTTGACCACATACAATCCATACCCCAGGATAGGGATGTTACTGTCTTCAGAAAAGAGCCAGTTCTCAGGGCCTGGTGGTGCACACCTTTAATCCCAGTGACTCGGGAAGCTGAAGCAAAAGGATCACAAGTTTGAGGCCAGCCTCAACAACTTAGTGAGACCCTGTCTCAAAAAAATAAAAGGACAAGAAAACAGAACAAGAATGAAGATGTGGGCAGATCTGGTGTGCAGAACCTGAGCATCACAGGAATGTAGCTCAGTGGTGAGTGCCCTGGGTTTAATAGCCAGCTCGTCTGACACACCCACCAAGGCAGGTCACTCAGAGCCACAGTATTCCACTGAGAAGTGAACAAGGAGCTCAAAGTATCCCTTTTGCCTAGTCCCCAGGACTCAGTGACACCTTCAGGTCCCTGAAAAGCTGGCCAGAACTGTGTTCAGTCCCCTCAGGGCAGCTGTGGAAATGGTGCCCACCTTCATGTGGGCAGGCCCCATGTCCAACTGGCCTCAGATCTTCCCTGACCTGCCTGGTGTCGTCAGGCCTCTTCCAGTAGCAGGAAGGAAGCTGCTTGTTGCTGCCTGGTCTCTGCCCACACCTCCAGGGAGGCTGGACTGAGGGAAGCTGGGGGCCTGTCCCCTTCTGCACTTCCCTTTGCAGAGCCCTGGCCTCAGCTCACATAGCCTCCAGCCTCATTTCAACTCCTAAACTTAACTTACTGTGACCCAGTTGTTCCCAACCGGGACACTTCAAACACTCTTGCAGCTAGGAGTCCCCCACCCCACTGATGCTAATGGAGTTGAAAGGGGATGGGGAGGTGACAGCCTGGGCATAGGGGGGGGCATTGAAAGCTCTCCAAGTGCTTCTAACTGCCTCTCCCACCTGGCCTCTGCAGCTCTGTTCCGAAACCACAGCTTCCAGGAAGCCACCTTGACACCCCCACCCTCACCCTCCTATTGAAGGGGGCAGGGCACTGAGGAGGCACACAGCCCTTGGCTGGTCCTCTCTCATCTCCACCACAGTCTGGGTCTTATCTGTTCCTGGTTTATAAACCTTGTGTTCTACCAGCAGAACTCCATCTGTTGACTTTCAGGGAGGCCTGGGTATGTCACACCCATCTCTCCGCCTTCAGAGCCCCTGGCCTCAGTGAATAGTTGGGAGTGACTGATGAGCAAGTCCACACTGTGTCCTGTGTGATGTGGGGGAGAAGACCAGACAGACTCAGCCAGCAAAGGGAGGGGAGGCCACAGGGGAGCCTGTGCTGGGGGGAGGAAGGAGTGTAAGCCAATAGAAAACCAAAGGAACCTGACAATCTGCACAAGAGGCAGGGCCCAGGGATGAGGTTCTGCTGGACAGAGGGGGCTGCCCCTTGGTGGCTGCATTTTTGCCTCTTCCTTCCTCCTGGTCATCTATATTGGTGTGGACCTCCTGCCCCTATCTTGTGTCAGAGGGCCATATTTTGAAAGTGGGGTTTGGAGGTGACAGAGACCATGCTGTCTTTCTCTCAATCCTCTGTCTGTCCGCAGAATGATGAGGAGGCAATGGTGGAGGCCGTGGCCCTATACAACCCTGTGAGCTTTGCTTTTGAGGTGACTGAAGATTTCATGATGTATAAAAGTGGCGTCTACTCCAGGTGAGCTGAGTCCAGGAGCCAGGAAGGCTAGTGGAGCAAACTGGGGGGCCTCCTCACTCCTGGCACAGGGGCCTTGGGCTCAGCCCAGACTCCTGGTCAGACCATGTCACTATACCCGCCTTGCTGGGAATTTTATGTATCCTCGGTTAGACCCCATGCAGCTCTAAGGGTCGGGGACCACAGACTCTCAGAGGAAAGAGATCAGAAGGGATCCCTGACACATGGCTGGTGAGGGCTAGTGCTCACTAGCTCAGAGAGGTAGCCTCATCTATGGAAGAAAGTTAAAAACCCCAGTTAAAAACCTCACATTCAAAAATATAAAGACAGGGCTGGGGCTGCAGCTCAGAGGCAGAGCACTTGCCTCGCACGTATGAGGTGCTGAGTTTGATCCTCAGGACTACAAAAAAATAAATAAATAAACAAATAAGAAAGAAAGATATTATGTCCATCTACAACTAAAAAAAAAAATATTTAAACAAAAAGAAAGAAAATTTGAAGACATGGAACAAGGATAAGAAAGTAACTGCTCTCGAGCACCAGAATCCTGTGCCGGGAAAGCCAGGCCCCTTGGCATCTCTCATGCAGGGTTGCTCCTGCCCACACCTCTTAGCCTGCCTGTTTTGTGCAGTGAGTTCAGTGTGTGTCTCTAGCCACCTCCTGCCTGCTCCCCAGAGTCCTTCATGTCCCCTCGTTTTCCAGGCACCCTAAAATGTTAGTGCTCTCAGCCCTCCTCTGAGTTCTCAGCTGCTCCTGTAGCTCCATGGCCAGCTGTTTGCTGAGAACAGTTGGACCCATACCCAGCTCCCCCCACACCTCAGCCTGGATGGCTTTGGAAACCTCAGGGCCTGCATCTCTCTTCCCACCCCTTCCTGCCCAGGTCTCCATTCGGTCAGCAGGGGCCCCGTCCCTGCTACTGCACTGGAGGAAGGCCAGAGCCATGTGAGCCCTCCTTCCGTCATCCCCACTGTCCCTGTAACATTGCTCACCTCTGGGCTCTCCCCTCCCATCCACCTCCCATCTCCCCTCACCCAGCCCACCATTTCCAGCAGCCTCCTCACTGGCTTGTCCTTGACCATGACACACACACACACCCCCACACATGCTGGCCCTTCCTCATGAGAATGGGACACCCTACTGGATCGTGAAGAATTCTTGGGGCTCCCATTGGGGAAAGGATGGGTAAGTAGCTTCTCAGTCCCATTGTTCCGGGTGGGGGTCATGTTGCTCAGGTTGGAGGACCTTGTGGGTATCTCTTCCACCTCTCACTTGGAGCCAGGGTCCACCTTCTTACATGCCAACTCTAAGCACTCTAGCGCCTCCCTTTGCTCAGTGTCTTAGCCCAGCTGTGTGTCACATCTCCCTCCCTGTCCCTGGCTCCCTGCAACCCCCACCCCAGCCACATGGAAGGGTTTGAAGTTTCATGGGTGTTCCCTGCTTCCTCAGGGAGGCCTTCCTGGCCTCCCTGCTCCCCACCTCACTGAGCTGGAGCCCCTCTTTAGGGCTCTCATCATCCTCCGCACTGTCAGCCCAGTCCACTGCTCAGAGGCAGCCTCTTTGCCCATCTGTAGGATGGACCCTGCTGCTCGCACCCCAGCACCTGCCCGGGGCCTGGCCCATATGTACTCGAACCTCAGTTCCACATTAGCAGAATCCACCTGTGACCACTGCAGCTTTCCCATGAATTCTTGGAATTTCCTCATGGAAGCTTTGAAAAATAAATGCACTGGTAGCAAAACAGCGTGGTGTTGAATTCTAGTCCAACACTGTTGGCTGCCGAAGGTGCAGCAGGAGGACTGTTCCCTCTTTAGTGGGAGAGAAGGTGTCACACTGGAGGAAAGGGGCCAGTGCCACACCGAGACTCTCCTTGCACCAGCAGGACTGAAAGAACTGAGATTCCCTCTCACTGTGAAGAGAAGTCATTCTCCACCTGATGGGCCTCCCGTGGGAAACATGGCCCTAGCACACGGGGAGAGCTATGCTTGGGTGTGACTGAGCTGTGGCTTCTGTCCTTCCCATAGTATCCACTCTCTTTTATTTCCTTCCCAGTACTTCCTGTCATAAAACTCCAGATAAGGTAAACCACGCAGTACTGGCTGTCGGGTATGGAGAAGAGAATGGGATACCCTACTGGATCGTGAAGAATTCTTGGGGCTCCCATTGGGGAAAGGATGGGTAAGTAGCTTCTGAGTCCCATTGTTCGGGGTGGGGATCATGTTGCTCAGGTTGGAGGACCTTGTGGGTATCTCTTCCAACTCAAAGTCATGGCTTCCAGGCTGGGTACAGTGGCACACACCTGTAATACCAGCAACTTCAGAGGCTGAGGCAGAAGGATCGAGAAAGTTCAAGGCCAGCCTCAGCAAGTTAGCAAGACCCTATCTCAAAATTAAAAATTTTAAAAAGGGGAGCTGAGGGTGTAACTCATTGGTAAATAGATAGATAGATAGATAGATAGATAGATAGATAGATAGATAGATAGATAGAAAGTTACAGCTTCAAGAAAGGAGCTGTTCAGCCAAGCCCTAGCCAGGCCAGGGGAAGCATGAGAATGTGACCTCTACCCTTGGGTCCCCAGCTACTAACGCAGGTAATAGGAATCCAGTTGGCTCAGTAGAGCCTCAGTAGTAACCACTGCTGGGATAACAGCTTAGAACCCTGAGCCCTGCTGGGACCAAGCCAACCTTTGGGAGGGTCCAGCTTTGAGAAATCAGGACAACAATTTGCCCCTGAACTTGACAGTCCCTGCTTCAAGGGGAAAATGTTGGAGCCAGGAGGCCTGGGTGTCTGTGCATGTTGATGTGACTCTGGGTCTCCTTTCAGATTCCTCTGAAAAGGAGTTTCTGTCTTTACCTCAATCAAGGAGTCCTGGTGATGTGAAGTAACTATGTGAAGGCCTAGCCAGGGCTAGGAAGGGGGCCAACAGGCAATTCTGGGAAGAAGTAGGATATGGACAGAATAAGAAAGTGAGATCATTTGGTGACCAAGGAAGGGAAAAAGAAATTTTTCACAAGGTTACATCAGAAATTTCTTGTTGATAAAAAAAAGCCCAATGCCACTGTTTCATGAATAAATTCAGAGGGCTTAATCCCTGGAGTCAGGTCTTGGTGAGTGGCAGAACATTCTAGAAAGATCTTTCTCTCGGCCCAGGTACTTCCTCATTGAGCGTGGGAAGAACATGTGTGGTCTGGCTGCCTGTGCCTCCTACCCGATCCCTCAGGTGTGAGCCAGCAAAAGCTGTGGAGACAGTTGGCGGAGAAGGAGAGGAACTGGTGTCTCGCTGTTTGGTGGAAATCCTGCCTGGAGGAAGCTCTGGGGGGATCCACCCAGAGGCCCCCATTTTTCACCCTCACTCCTGTTCTGAGCCTGGAAACCTAAAGACAAGGAGGAAGAATTCCGTTGCCCAAGAAGCCCACTCACATCTTTTGATGTGGTGACCATCACCAGCCATGTGCCTTAGGTGTGGTTTTTAACTGACTCAAACCCATGTGGATGGAGAATATTCTTTCTTTCAAGAGGGGCTACTTCCACATGTAGAGAGCGCTTCAGTCTACTATCTTTTCTGTATTCTTTTTTTCAATAAACATCGAGTGAGCACCTCCCTGAGCCAAGGCCTGTGCTGGATACAGGACCAGACACTTCTCAAACTGGGTCCTCAGGGCTCAGTCTCCCAGGATGGAGGTATCAGCAGGGTGCCCTGGTCTCTGGCTGGAAACACAGTATGGATGTCGGTGATACTGTCCATCAGAGCACGAAGAGCAGATTTAGGAATTCTGACTGTCCTACACCTCAGGAGGGAGGGAGGAGGAAATGGGCCAGGGTCTGGCAAAGCCAGGACAGCCTGAAAGCCTGTACATCTCTGTGTGGCCTCCCTTCTCTCAGCTTCATACCCCTCCTCAAGACCCTGGGCCCCATTTCATCTTTACTAATCCTTTTTCTTTGGGGGTACCAGAGATTGAACCCAGGGGTTCTTAACCATTGAGTCACATCCCTAGCCTTTTTAAAAAATTTTTGATTTTTGAGGCAGGGTCTCACTAAATTGCTTAGGATCTTGTTAAGTTGCTGAGGCTGGCTCTAATCCAATCCTCCTGCCTAARTCTCCAAGTCTCTGGGATTACAGGCATGCACCACCATACCCAGCTACTAATCCCTTTTGAACATGCCTGAATGCTCCTGTCACCTCCAAACCAGCCCTCCTGTTCCTTTCCTGTGAAGTTCTACAGACCTATACCTCAGCTCTTTGTCCTGCATTTCATAGTCTTTCTTAATAACTGAAGCCCTGCCTGGTGTTACTTTGGCCTCCTGGAAAGCAAAAATTTTGAAACTGTTTGGAAGAAAAAATGTTATGTGCATGACAAGACTTAGAAAATTCACATGTGGGTCTGGAGGTGCTGCTCAGTGGTAGAGCATTTGCCTGGCATACATGAAGCCCAACAGGATCATTAATTTAAATAAGTTGATTAGCAGGCCTGCTGGCACACACCTGTAATCCCAGTAACTCTGGAGGCTGAGGCAGGAGGATTGCAAGTTAAAAATCAGCCTCAACAATGTAGTGAGGTCCTAAATACCTTAGTGAGACCTTATTTCAAAATAAATAGATAAATAAATAAATAAAGGGTGGGTTCAGTCCCCAGTACCGATAGATAAATAAGTTGATTTTTGCCAGAAATAAAACACAAGCTTGATACATTTCCAACTAAAATCTAAAAAAAAAAATTAATGATTTATATTTACCTAGGGAAAATGCCAAGATAATTAAGATTTTATAAGAAAGTAATAAGAATGTATTTTTTTTTCATATTAAAATATATCAAGTTTCAGTGGCTCAGAAGGCTGAGGCAGGAGGATCACAGGTTCAAAGCCAGCCTCAGCAAAAGGGAAGCACTAAGCAACTCAGTGAGACCCTGTCTCTAACTAAAATACAAAAAAATAGGACTTGGATTGGCTCAGTGGTCAAGTGCCCCTGAGTTCAATCCTTAGTACCCAAAAAAGTAAAAACTAAAATATATTAAGTCTCATCCCTTAAAACAGTATATCAGTTAAGAATAGATTTATTGGGCCCGGACACAGTGACACATGCCTGTAATTCCAGCAACTCAGGAGCCTGAGGCAGGAGGATTGTGAGTTCAAACCCAGCCTCAGCAATTTAGCAAGGCCCTGAGCAATTTAGTAAGAGTCCCTGTCTCAAAATAGAATATATAAAGGGCTGGGGAGGAGGCTGGGCTTGTAGCTCAGTGGTACAGCGTTTGCCTCACCCACATGAGGCCCTGAATTCAATCCTCAGCACCACATAAAAATAAATAAATAAAATTAAAGGGCTGGGGATGTAGCTCAGTGGTTAAACACTCCTGGGTTTAATACTTGATTTAAAAAAAAAAAAAAAAGATTAATCACCCAGTGTCTACAAAAATGAGAATTCAATATGCCAGTAGCAGACATCGATTTTTTACTATTCAGAAAAGGTGCTAGGAAGTAGGGTAGTTATTTGGAAACAGTTTAACTTAAACCTTCACCCACCATATTCTTCGTTCAGACTTTTTATTTTAGAACAGTTTAAGATTTACAGAATTATGCAAAGATACTTTTCTAATACCCCACACCCAGTTTTATCTATTAATATCTTACTATAGTATGGTGCACTTGTCACAATTAATGTATCAGTATGAAACATTATTATATTCCAGTTATGTAATTTGTTTTAAAATAAAGATTCTGAGTGAGGCTTTAGAGAAATTCAAATTTTCACACACACACACACACACCAAAAAAAAAAAAAATCAACCATTTTCAAAATTAATTTCACCTGAGGGATCTAGAGCTCAGTAGGGATTGTGAGTAGGATTTCGGCACAGACCTGGGACTTCAAAGCAGACATTCTGTTCTCTGTAAGTAGCCAGCACGTCTGCTGCTCTCAACCCTAGACATTGATGATGGTCTCTTGTAAAAGAGACTGCAAAAGCTGAGTCCCTCCCTTTCATCCATTCTCCAAGCCCCCACAGAGTGTCAGCCATGTGTAACGCTGCACCAGGGCCAGGCACTGGGGACAGGCAAGGATGTCCTTGGCATCTAGTTCTTGGCATGACTGTTGTGAAACAGACAAAATGGCCCAGACCTTAGGGCCCTTTAAAGAGAGCAGTGGACAAGGTGACATCTATCTGGGATGAATAAATTCCAAATACATTTGAACCCCAAGGATCCAGAAGAGAGCCTGGTATAGCAGGTACTACAGTTGGGCTCAGTTACACTCTCGGGACACCCCACCTCACAGCAAGCCCTGCACTGACCTCTAGGGATCTGAGGTTCATGGGACACATCTTTGGCACCAAGGAACCACTCTTGGGRAAAACAAAAGTTTAAGAAAAAAATTAAAGTCCAAGATTAAAAACAAAGACATCACAATTATTAATATAGATAGGAAAGTCCTCAATAAACACCAGCAAACTAAACCTACCAAAGTATTGAGAAGGATTATACATCATGGCCACGAGGGATTTATCTCAGGAATAAGATTGGTTCAATACATGAAAATAAATTGATGTAATATGCTGAAATAAGAGGAAAAAGGTAAAAATGCATGATTATTATAACAGATATAAAGAAAACATTTGAAAAAAATTCAGTGCTTGGGAAGGGGAGAAGGGGAAATATAGATTGGTGGTGCCTCGTATGCACAAGGCCCTAGTTCCATTCCCAACACTGCAAAGAAAAAATTTTAAAAGTTCCTCAACAAACTAGAAAACCCCCTGACAAAGGGCATCTATGAGAAACCCACTGCTAACATCATACCCAATAGTAGGGGCTGAAAGCTTTCCCTCTTAAGTCAGGAATAAGACAAGGCTGACTGTTCTCACCACTTCTATGCAACAGTATACTGCAAGTTCCAGGCTGGCAAATTGGGCAATAAAAAGACAGAAAATGCATCCAAATTGGAAAAAGTAAAACTCTATTTTTTTGCAGGTGATAGCTTGTATATAGAAAATCCTAAGGAAAACAGACACCCCCCACCACACACACACACACACACACACACACACACACACACACACACACACTAGAACTGATAACAAAAGAAAAACTAAATTGGATCTCATTAAAAACGGAAGACTTTGAGTGTCAACAGGCAATATGAAGAAAGTGAAAAGACAACCCACAGGAGAAAACGTTTGCAAATCACTTATCTGGTAAGGGTCTAACATCTAGAATATGTAAAGAAGTCCTCTATTTGCAAAATGACAAATGGGGCCTTGGAGGGTAACTCAGTGGTAGAGCAGAGCACTTGCCTAGCATATGTGGGTTCCATCCTAAGGGGGAAAAGAGAATCAGAAGAATATTGCCATAATTGTTTTCAAAAATCAAATACTGCTTCTGCCTGGCACTTTAGAATATCCTGCCTCAGCAAAACAAGATTTGTCCACTTGCCATTTAGTAATACTTTCTCTACTGGGAAAAAATGAGACTTGATAGCTATAAAGAAGAGAGACTACTGCCTCCCGGCTTGAGCAATTCCACCCTCAAGAAGTGATTCCTATGAGCTACAGAGAGCGAGGAGGCAGGACGAGAGCAAAACTGTTTCTGGCTGGTGCTGGTAGCTCTGAGTGTGCCCCTCTCCTTCCAAAACAGAGACTAGAAGTAACAGCCAATGAAGGAGGATGACAGAACAGCAAGCCACCAGGAAGGAAGCTTCTGGGCTCCCTCTAATGACCCCTACTGGCAGAACCTAGCAAAGAATCCTCACTAGAAGAAACCCAGCCACAGAGCAGTTCAACCAACCTAGTCCTCTCTTGAGGAGGTTCGCCTATGCACATTTTCCACACGTATTCTGATAGCAACACTCCATGCTGTAGCCTAACAAGATGCAACTATCCTTCAAAGAAAGACACCCGGCCTGCACAGTGGTGCTTGCCAGCAACTTGGGAGGTTGAGGCAGGAGGATCGAAAGTTGGAGACCAGTCTCAGCAATCTAGTAAGGCTCTGACTCAAAATAAAAATGGACTTAGGATGTAGCTCAATATATATTAAAAAAAAAAATAAAGAGAAAAAAAAGAGGAAAGGAAGAAGAAAAAGACACTCATCCCCTCCAACAAAAGGAAATGACAAAGTGCCACTAGTCACCCTTCATTGTGCAATGCCAACTAGTTCTCTAATTCAAATAAAGTTCCACCTGAATACTCTATAATCCACAAAAGAAAATACACTAAATTTCCACAATCCTCATTTCCATCATTGGTCATAAGGGCAGAGCTCACATTTCTTCTGTCTATTCCATGTTTCCTTCGCATTCTACGAGCGCTCAGCTGTTTTTGGTTTGGGTTTTGTTTTTTCACAGATAAAGTCACCTCAAAAATCATTCCTGAAAGAATGATTTCTCTTGGTCATTTTTAATTTCCATAGTTTTCTATTCAATGTTACCTAGGAACATGGAAGAACTGGGAGATATCCCAGATAATCTTCTGGGTTCCAGACAGTCCTCCCTGTTCAGACTGTGTGGACGTCCTTGGTAATCAGAGCCAATCATCCCAGTCAATACAGTACTTCTTGGCTTACGATTCAGAGGAATAAAAAGTCCAAAGTGGCTCTGGAACTTCCAATCCAGTGTAAACATGTTCCCTGGAGGGGACATTTCTTCCTGAGAATCAAACCTCCTTACCAACTGGACCCAAGTTTGCAGGAATGGGAAACATTCTGCACCTGTTTGTGATGAAAGCCGACATTCCTACTCCTATTGATTCCCTGTCATGTGTATTCTGAGAGAAGATCACCACGTGTGGACCGTTCAAAGTGCATGCCACATCCTCTAATTCAGAAACTCGTCTTTCAGATCTCCCTCCTGGTGTCACAACAAAGTCTTCAGCAGCTCATCCCACCATTCACTCAGGCTGTTAAGGTATGTCAGAACCATGAACAAAGATGCCTGAGTCCACAGATGATGGTGTTGGCAGAACTATTCCAGGCAGGGAAGGCAAATCCATATCCAGATATCCAGAAAA